AAAGAGCTACTGTAAATATTTTTGTAAATATAGGTCCTTTTCCTTTTTATTTTTTATTTCTTCTGGGACACAGACCTAGTAGCAGCATTGCTAGGTCAAAGGGAATGCATGGTTTTATAGGCCTTTGGGCACAGTTTCAAATTGCTCTATATAATGGTTGAATCACCAACTTAGATTTTTTAAAGATGTGTACAGTGGGAAAGCAAAGAATAGTTTACCTATCAGATTTGTGGAGAACAGAATAATTTATGACCAAACAGGAGATAGAGAACATTACAAAATGCAAAATGGATAACTTTGATTACATTAAATTGAAAAGTTTTTGCACAAATAAAACCAATGCAACCAAGATTAGAAGGAAAGTAGAAAACTGGGAATTTTTATAACCAGTGTTTCTGATAAGGGCCTCATTTCTAAAATATATAGAGAATTAAGTGAAATTTATAAGAATACAAATCATTCCCCAATTACTAAATGGTCAAAGGTTATGAACAGGCTGTTCTCAGATGAAGAAATTAAAGCCATCTATAGTCATATGAAAAAATGCTCTAAATCACTATGGATTAGAGAAATGCAAATAAAAACAACTCTGAGGTACTACATCACACCTATCAGATTGGCCAACATGACAAAACAGGTAAATGATAAATATTGGAGAAGATGTGGGAAAATTTGGAACACTAATGCATTGTTGGTGGAATTGTGAAATGATCCAACCATTTTGAAGAGCAATTTGGAACTATGCCCAGAGGGCTATAAAAATGTGCATACCCAAGGGGCATCTAGGTGGCACAGTGGATAGAGCACAGGCCCTGAAGTCAGGAGGACCTGAGTTCAAATCCAGCCTCAGACCAAACACTTGACACTTACTAGCTGTGTGACCCTGGGCAAGTCACTTAACCCCAATTACCTAAAAAATTTTTAAAAAAATTAAAAAAAAGTACATACCCTTTGACCCAGCAATAGCGCTTCTAAGTCTGTATACCAAAGAGATCATACAAATGGGAAAAGGACCCACATGTACAAAAATATTTATAGAAGCTCTTTTTGTGGTGGCAAAGAATTGGAAACTGAGAGGATGCCCATCAGTTGGGGAATGGCTGAACAAGTTGTGGTATATGAATATAATGGAATACTATTGTGCTATAAAAAATGATGATCAGGCAGACTTCAGAAAAACCTGGGAAGACTTGTATGGTCTGATGCAGAGTGAAGTGAGCAGAATCAGGAGAACATTGTACACAGTAACAGCCATGTTGTACGATGACTAACCTTTCTTAGCAATGCAAGGATCTAAGACATCTCCAAAGGCCTCATGATGGAAAATGCTATCCCTATCCAAAGAAAGAACTATGGAGTTTGAATGCAGAGTGAAGCATATTTTTGCTTTTTTTTTTCTCCTGTTGTGTTTTGTTTCTTCTTTCTGGTGGTTCCTCCTATTGGTTCTAATTCTTCCTTACAACATCACTAATGTGAAAATATGTTTAATAGGAATGTAAATGTAGAGCCTATATCAGATTGCATGCTGTCTTGAGGAGAGAGGGGAAGATAATTTAAAACTCAAAAGCTTATGGAAGTGATTGTTGATAAATCAAAATAGATTAATAAAGTTTAAAAAAAGAAAAAAAGACATGTACAGGAGATAGAAATAAGGCCAGGTAACATAAGGTGGCTTGAGGAACATGGCACAGGCCTGTAAAAATGGTGTCAGGACTGCTAAAGCTCAGAGTGAGCTGGTGCTGGTGAGGGAAGCCAAAGACTACAAAAAATAAGAAATAAGCATTTATATAGCACCTACTATGTGCCAGCCACAGTGCTAAGCACTTTTTAAACAAATATTCTCATTTGATCCTCACAACAACCTTGTGAGGTAGATGCTGTTTTTATCTCCATTTTACAGTTGAAGGAAACTGAGGTAGACAGAGGTTAGTTAAGTGACTTGCCCTGGTAGTGAAGTAATTGAGGCTGGTCTTCCTGATTCCAAGCCCAGCTCTTTAACCGCTAAGTCACCTACCAAGGTTTTGTTTGTTTGTTTTCTAACTCTAGTGGGAGAAAAAGATAAAAGAGAGGATGGACCTTTAGGGGTGGATAGGATGATGGTAACTTACCAAAGAGACAGTGCATAGCTGCTTAACTTATTTTAATTGTTTCTGTACAGAGAATTACTTATGTGCTGGACTAACAGAATAAAAATTACTAATAGGGAGTTGAAACCCAAGATAAGGAAGGAGACAGCAAGACAGGCTTTGATTGAAGGAGTAGAAGAATGAATTCAGTGAATTCAAGTCACCTTGCCCAGATGAACTACCTTCCTGGGTCCTGAAAGAATCAGCATTTTTGATTACTTAGAGATTGTCAATAATATTTGAAAGATGATGGAAAATAGAAGAGGTACCACAAAATCACAGAAGGACAGATATCCTGATTAAGAGAGAGAGAGAGAGAGAGAGAGAGAACACAGTCTGAAAAAGTATGGGCCAGTGAGCTTGAATACAATTTCTGGGAAAGTTCTAGAATGCATCATTAAAGAGATGGTTAGTAAACATCTAGAAATGGAAACAGTGGTTACAAAGAACCAGCTTGGCTTCATCAAGCACGTTATGCCAGACAAACCTCACGTCTTTTTTTTTTTTGTTTTTTTGTTTTTTTTTTTTAAATAAAGTTTCTCATATATTCTTGAGGAGAAGATAGATGTGAACTAGATGATTATACAATCAGAAAGATTTAGAACAGGTTGGATGGCTAGACTCACAAAGTAATTGATTGTTCATGGTTTAATATCAACGTGGCAAAGGTCTCCTTTGGAGAATCCCAGGGCTCTGTGCTTGGCTCTATTTCTGGTTAACTTTTTTTTTTTTAAGGCAATTGGGGTTTTGTGACTTGCACAGGGTCACACAGCTAGTAAATGTCAAGTGTTTGGTCTGAGGCCGGATTTGAACTCAGGTCCTCCTGACTTCAGGGCCAGTGCTCTATCCACTGTGGTTAACCTTTTTTATAGATGACTTTGGTAAAGGAATTGATGGTATGCTCATCAAATTTGCAAATTACACAGAACAGGGAGGGAAAGCTAACACACTCCATAACAATGCCTTGACAGGCACAAACATTGGGCTGAATCTATTAAGATGAAACAATAGGGATAAATGTAGAAAGCCTTGTGCTTGCTTCTCCCATCCCACCTCAATTAACTTTACAAGTATAAAATGGGGGATGCATGATTAGACGGCAAATGTTCTGGAAAAGAACCAAAGATCTTAGTGGACTGAAAGCTCAATATGTGTGATGTGTCAGCCCAAAAAGTTGATTTGATCTTTGACTGAATAGAAAAGCATATCTTCCAGGAAAAGGGAAGTGATAGTCCTACCATATTCTGCCTTTGACAGACCACCTGCAGTACTGTGTCCAGGTCTGGGCAACATCTTTAAGGACATTTATTCATTAACTGGAGTGTAACAGAGAAGTGTAACCCAAATCAAGTTTTTAGGCCTTGAGTCCTTGACATATGATGATCAGTTGAAGGGACAGAGGTTTCTTAGCCTGGAAAACAGAGGACTCGGGGGGAAATGTGGAAGGGGGAACATGAGAGCTGTCTTAAAGTATATAAAGGGTTGTCATGTCTAGAAGCAGGGTTATGTTTGCTCTATCTGGCCCCGGGGGGTCAAACTAGGAGCAATGAGCATGAGTTGCAAAGAGGCTAGATATAGGCAGATTGGTCAGGAAAAACTTCCTAATAATGAGACTAACCAAGGTTGGAATGAGCTGCTTCAGGAAGTGCTGGATTCCTACTCCTTGGAGGTCTTCAAGCAGGGGCTGGATGATCAGGTATACTATAGTGGGGTTTTCTTTTGGGTGTGAGCCAGATCAGATGGTCACTGAGATCTCTTCTAGCTTGAATTCCATGATCCTGTGACACTGGTGATATAATAAAGGCCTCATCGATAAGTGACAAAGAGGATCCAGGACAATACCTAAGAGTACACCCCAACATTCCCAAATATAAGATTTTTAGGTTTTCATCCTTACCTATCACATTTCATCTTATTAGATTAGGCCCAAAGTTTTAGCCTGTTGGGAATTTTTTGAATCCCAACTCTGTCATCCAGTGTTAGCTCTTCCTAAGCACCTTTGTATCATCTCTTTACCCAAGTCATTGATAAAAAATGTTCAACAGCATAGATCCCTCCAATAGTCTCTATTGGAGACTATCTTCTAAGTTTACATTGAATCATTAATAATTCCTCTTGGGCCTCAGCCATGCAACTATTTCTGAATCAATAAATCTTTACAAGTCCATGTTTCTCCATTTTTCCCACAAAAATAGAACGGGAGACTTTGCCCAATGCTTTGCTAAAAATCTAGGTTAACTATAGATACAGAATTACCCTGATGCATCAGTCTTAGAAACCCCACTGAAAATGGAAATGAGATGCTGTGACTTGGGCCTCCAGCTTCCCTCCCACAGCCCAAGTGTTCTGGGCTCCATTTTCCCTTGCACTTTCCAGGTAACCTGGATCCTAGCACCCCTTTTGCAGTCCAGCTGTCCTACCAGTTTTCTTCCCACAATCCTTGGCCTCTTGGGCTTCCATCTCCCCTGCCACAGCATGGAGGCCCAGGCTCTAGTGTTGTCTCACAGCTGTCTTGGATCAACAGTTTCCCTCCTATAATTCAGGTATACTTGGCCCACACCCCACATCTCACCCACTTACAGAGATGCCACACAATAGTTGACTTTACTCCTTTATCACCACTTCCACTGTCTTCTCCAAACCTGAGTCTGGGCCTGGGGAAACCACATCCAGCCCCCCGGGGAAGATTTGGGAAATGGACCTTACTCTAAAGTCCTTCCTGCCTTTTGCACTCCAGGGCTAAGAGCACTGGAGAGGGCTCTGAGCTGGCCTTATGTGCCTAGAATCTCCTTGGCCCAACCCTGCCAGGCTCCCTGGGTGGGGGGCCTTGATCCTTTAGATCCTCCCCAGCCCTTTCTGGGGGTCTCTGGCCCTTTAGCCCTCCAGACAAGAGGGAAGGCTCTTAGCCACCCCCAGAACACTCTTCATGGCTTCGTATACCACGTAGCTGATGCCCACTGCTGGCAGCACCTTCAGGAGAGTGGGAGTCACCCCCCGGTACAGGCCGGGCATGCCCTGCTGGGCTAGGATCTTTCCAAAGACATCTTGCATGGTGGGATTTGAGCCCTCCAAGGTGTCTGTGAAGTATAGGGGAAGGGGTAGGATCAGTATCAGGTCAAGAAGTCATGTACAGTCAGGGGTCCCTCTCTGTGCCCCACCAAGGGAACAAGTGGAAATGGGATTTGATTAGCAGGGTCCCAAGAGGTGGCCAATCCACAGCCAGGGGGAAATGAAGCCAATCTGATCTCCCAGCCTCAAGTATTTCCTCTCTATGACCTATTTTGGAAGTCCTATAGGCTTCTAGCCATCCCTTCCACAATTCTGTTATCCTGGACCCCCAGCTTCCTTCTGACGTTGCCGGGATCTCAAGTACCTTTCTACAACACAGATGTTTTGGGCCTCTGGGACCCATTGGAATTTTTAAAAAGTGGGTATTTTAATGGTGGGGAGATAGAGATCAAATTAGAGAATGTCTTACCTTGGGCCTGCATCCTTGTCCGCACCAGTGTCAGGGGGTAGCTGGCCATCTGGCCACATGTGCTGGACAGTGTGATGGACAATAGGCTGACCATCCCATTGGGATTGTTTGACTCGAACCCTAAGTAGAGCCAGACCCACCTGAGCGACTATAAGGGGGGGAAAAAGTAGAGGGGGCAGTGTTGGGCCAAAAGATTTGTGTCCTTGAGTGTCCTTCTCCTTTCTAAGCCCTTCCCCTTGCCCTCAATGAACCCCCATCCCTTCACTGAGACCCCACTCCCTCAGTGATCCTCTATCCCATCATTGAGAGGCCCAGGGCAGCCTATGCCCTGGGGTCCCTGACCTCATAGACAGCCAAGTCGGTGCAGGCATAGGGCACAATGCCCAGCATGTTGGGCAAGTAACCCCGATAGAAGGCTCGGGTTCCCTCACGCCCTAGGATCTGGCATGCACAATCCAGTAGCCCCTTGTACTGGCCCGTCCTCTGGAGCATCAGCCGGGTCTTCAGCACCTGGAGTTGGAGTCAGGGGATCTGCATTCAAATCCATGCTTTGCTACTTACTAGCCATGTTATTCTGGGCAAGTCCTTTCATTTACTGGCCCTCAGTTTCCTCATCTGTAAAATATTCATGTTGAACTAGATATTTCTAAAGTTTCTTCCAGCTCTAAATCTCTTGATTCTATGAGGTGCCTGGGCCTGGAGAACATCCTTGGGGAACAGGAGGTGTTGGACATGGGACTCAGAAGGAATTGGACATCCTGTCCCCTAGCCTTGTCATGCAAAGCCCCAGAGAAACTGGCCTGATCTGAAAGACTCTGGAGGGAATGAGTACCAGGCATTCTGTCCCCCAGTCAGTCCCATCCTGACTAATTAGACAGAGGCAACCATGGATTAGGAGCTCACCTCCATGGGGTTGATGAGAGTCTGGGAGACAGCCACTGCCAGGGAGCTAGCCAGGATTCTTTCTTGAAAGGGCTGTGGGTTTTTCTGGTTGTAGAAGAAAGTCTTATACTGTGGGAAGTGAGGAGGTGACAGGGGAACAGGGGATAAGGGAAGAGCCAATCATTCTATCCCTATCCTCCAACCCTCTCCCAATTCCTTCCCAGAGTCCCCTCCCCCAAATTCTTTTCTTGATCTCCCAAACCCTCAGGGCCATCCCCCTAACCTCTTGCTCCTTTAACCACAAAAGGCTGGACAGAAGAAAAGGTAGAAGTGGACCCTAGGTGAAATGGACATGTTGTGGGTACTATTGGACAAGGGGATGATAAAAAGGGTGGGCACTAGGAGGGCTGTTAGAGAGGTATGGAGTTCAACTCTGGCCTCAGACACTTGACACTTACCAGCTGTGTGACCCTGGGCAAGTCACTTAACCCCAATTGCCTCCCCAAAAAGTGAAAAAAAATTTAGCCTTTCCTTGCAATGTCAGTAAAGAATATGAGTTCTTACCCCCCCCCCCCGCAAAAGAAAGAAAGAAAGAAAGAAAGAAAGAAAGAGGGTGTAGGACTAGGTTCAGAGTCAGAATTGGGGTTGAGTGAGGGATAGTACACACATGAGAGGGAGGGTGGGTGGCTGGGCCTGGGTCAGAAACAAGGTGAGAATTAGGATAAAAATGAGATTGGGAGTGAAGGTCAGAACCTGGATCAGGTGCAGATTTGGGGTCTAGAAGAGGTGAAAGTGTAGTTCAGAGTCTGTGCAGGAGAGAGGGCCTAGGTCAGGGTCAGAGTCCAGGTCTTCAGAAGGGATGTGGGAAGAGCCTCAGCCTCTCGTTCACCTGCTCAGAGACGGAGAACTTGATGGCATACTCGGGTGCAATCTTGAGCACGTTCATGCCGTTTCCCCGCCACAGGGAGCGTATTCCGCCTTCTTGGATCATGCTTCGCATGCCCCCCAGCAAGTTCATGATGTTTGTTTTGGAGGCATAGACCTGGGTATGCAGGGAGAGGATGTCCCCAGCCCTGTGCCCAGTCCCTGGCCCATCCTCATGTCCATCCCCATCCCCAAATCAGTTCTGAAGTCTACCTTTCATCACTGATCCCAACCATTTTGCTATCCTGCCCTCCTCCCTCTCCAGCCTTGTCTCCAGACCAGTCCCTATAGGTATCCCTGGGCTGTCCTCACCTGCATGAAGACTTTAGCCCTGTCCAGTGGGGCTGTTCCAGTACGTGACACAGCACCAGCCACAGCCCCTGAGACCAGGAACTTCCACCAGGCTGCTTGGTTGGTCTCCTGCAACACTTCTACTGGGACCATCAGCTGTTCACCAGTGTCTAGCACCTGACCAGACCAAGTCCCAGGGTCTCCATAAACCAGATCAATACCGCAACCCATAGAAAATGGTCCCCCAGACTTTAATCAATGGGGTTGAGAGGACCCTGATTGGTAGCCTCAATGGCTACCTCTTCTAGGAAACATTTTTGGACTGAGATGTAAAGCCTGGCCTTGGCCCCTGCTTTGCCAATCTCTTTCATGTTCTGAACCATCCCATGAGTCCCTTCTTTCCTTCACGGGACCTAGCCAGACAGCGAGACACTGTTTGGGGCAGCTAGGTGACGCAGTGGTTAGATTACCGGCCCTGGAGTCAGGAGGACCTGAGTTCAAATCCAGCCTCAGACACATAACACTCACCAGTTGTGTGACTCTGGGCAAGTCACTTAACTCCAATTGCCTCGCCAAAAAAACAAAACAAAACAAAACAAAACAAAAAAGCAAAAACAGATACTGTTTCTAGAAGACATCTATGGAGAGGGTATGGGCAATGTGACCTTAGCCGCCTCCCGCCCTGGGAACAGGGGCCTTGGAGATCCCTTGTCTGGCCTTGGCCCTAAGTTCACCTGCTGTTTCTCCTGGTGGTAGGGGTGGGGCCCAAAGCTCTGGATGCAAGCATTGGGATCCCTGTCATGGGTGTCCATGGTGGCCGGGGGAAGAGAGGGAGAAGAAGCTTGGGACAGTGGGTTTCCTTCCAGGGCTCTGGTTTGCCGTCACTTGGCCACTTTGGAGCACAGGAAGTGAGGGACCCCTTGGAATCCTGGCCCCCCCTCTGGGGAGGAGGCATGATGTCACAGAATCATTGAAGTCACTGAATTCTGTTACTCTGGGGACTGGAATGATATCTAACTTGAGGGAATGAAATTCCCCAAAGTTGCAGACCTATAGAATGTTTGAGGTGGGAAGGCCCTTAGAAAACAGTCAGTCTCACTTCACTGTATTACATTTGTTAATAATATTTAATAATTCTATCAATAAATTATATTATTAAAATTTGATAAGCCTCATGGCCCAGCCCAGGTGATCATAAATGTTATTCCTTTCCCTTTAAAATGGGTCATACACTGTTAATAATAGTTCAGGTTTAGTGCTTTAAAATTCACAAAGCGCATTCCTCATAATAACCCTGTGAGGTAGGTGCTACAGGGACTATCATCCCCTTTTTACAGAAGAAGAAACTGAGGTTTAGAGAGGTTAAGTGCCTTGCCCAGATTCACATAGCTAGTAAAAGTCAAATGAAAATGTGAATTTGTACTTCTATTTCTTTGGTGCCACTTACATAATAATTTGCCACCAGCTTCTAGAAGGGCCTTTAGAGATCACCTAGAAAGGTTCTTAGCGTTTTTGTGTGTGTCCCAGAACACCACCTCCCCTCCCCTCCCAGCCTTGGCTGTCAGTTTGATGAAGCCTAAGAACCCTTTCTCAGAATCATGTTTTTAAATGCATAAAATGAAATACATAGAATTACAAAGGAAACCAATTATATTGAAAGTTACCAAAATATTTTTTTAAAAATTAAATTAATGAATCCTCTGAAATCTATCCAATGACCCCAAGGGTCCATGTACTGTATGTTAAGAACCTCCAGTTTTGTCCAACCCCTTTATTTTATAGGTGAAGAAACTGAGGGTCAAAGAGGCTTATCCGACCTCACCCAACTACGAGACATAAACTGGGATTTAAACCCAGGTCTAATCTCCTAGATTGGCAAAAAGTACTATACTTGAAATCTGATTATCCAGGCTCAAATCTGTGCTCCTAACTCACTGTATGACCTTCCTCAAGATTATTCTTTTCCGATTCTGACCCTCAGTTTCCCCATCTTTGAGGAAACATTGTCATTGAGATCTTTTCTAGCTAGGACATTTTTTGAGTCTCTGACTCCTAGTTCAGGGGTTCACAATGATGAGGAAATGTGGCCCAGGCAGTGCAACAGGCTATTTGCTACAGTTTATATGATGCTCTTCCCATATTTTGTGGCATTTCCATGTTTCTGCTCTACCCCGCCCTACCACAGGCTTCCCAAAGGCAGAGACTGGAGGCTCCCCTAGCTTTTATCTATGCTTCAAGGCAAAATAATTAGGGCTTGAGATACCAGCATCTGGGGGGATGGTGCTTTCTGCCTCTTGGGGTCCTCCAGTCCGTGGTCCTTACTTAGTCTGTCTGCTGACCTATGCAATGAGGCCAGATAGACTGACTGCCTTACTGGCTCAAAGGTCCCAGATCTGGGGCAGGGGGAGGAGGGAGCCTGACATCACCCACACATGCATATCACTGGCCTCTTCCTGAAGAAGGGCTCTGTGCTTGAGGAGGAGTAGGTTGTGCTGCAGGGCCATGTACTAGAGTAAGGGTGGTTAAGGCCACATGTGGCCCTCTAGGTCCTCAAGTGTAGCCCTTTGAATCGATTCAGTCAAAGGGCCACACTTGAAGACCTAGAAGGTCACATGTGGCCTCAAGGTTGCAGGGTCCCCACCCCTGATTTAGACTCTCTGGGGGAGACTATCTCTTTTCTCACATCAACTGTACCTGAGGCAGGAGGCAATCCTCTGCTCTTATCAAACCTCTTCTGGCCCATGACATTGCCTTAGACACAATAATTCCTAGTTAAAATTCTGCCCCAATTTTTCACAGAAAGGTTTCACCCAGGCCAGCGCTGAAGCCCCCTCTGAATTCTCTTCCCTGCCCCTCCCAAATAAAGACACCACACGGGCTGGCCCTGGGGACTTAGAAAAATGTATTCATTTGTTTCCCTTTGAAATGATGTACACACAGGCAGAGAGACTTGGGGGTTAGGGAGCATGAGTAGGGGAAGAGGGGTCTCTGGATGCTGCCTCTCCACAGGTACTAGATTCTCTGCTTTCACAGGGAGAACAAGACATTTTAATACCTTGATTTTCAGACCTCACCCCAACCCCCAGCCTCAGAATCCACCTATAAAATCCAGTCTCTACAGAGATTCCCTGGAGGATGGGGAAAGGCGTGGAGTGTGCATGTGTGTGTGTGTGTGTGTGTGTGTGTGTGTGTGTGTGTGTGTGTGT